ATGGCCTAAATCTGTTTAACACTGTCAACCGTATGCAGTATTGCCATTGTTTATAATTTTGTTGCTTAACGTTAGAGAATACAAATATTTGCATTTTTAAGAATATAAATGAGTATGTGCTGGCACATGCCATATAAAATCAACTGCCAATTCAAATTTACAATCTCATCCTTTTAAGTACTGCTTTTGGCAGAGATCAGGTTCGTTTCACATGGAGCAATTCATATTATATGTAGAAAGGTCTGCTTAAGGTCTATAACAAAATATGTAAAGAAAGCAAAATAACTAAAAAAAGACAGTAGAGCAAGTGTTGAGTACATTTTTTATTAAATGAATGAGGAAGACCACAAAACGTATAAGTAATAAATGCATGTTCTTGCTTCTTCACTGAAGTCCTCGTGAGTAAGATAAAATAGCATTTAATAATTGACCACTATGTATTCAATTTATTATAAACATTTGAAACGCAGAGTTTCAAGAATGACTTTTCAGTGTAATTAGTGGATTCTGTTCTATGTATGTGGATAATTTTCTTCTCCACACATTCATGCAAGGCCACCTTGATCTGGAAGATTGTTTTGATCACTGTCTACAAAATTTCCTATATCTGAATTTAGGATGAAATAGTGTAGTCTCATGAAGCTACAACAATTAGACTTTAGTTAGTCAAGAACTGTTTAACTTGTGCTTCAGAAATGTGCAATTATTTAATGAAATGTCAGTTCTGGATCTGGCAATGAAGAGCAAAAGCTGTATAACAGACACTGGTTTTAGGGATAAGATTTGCAGCATTTGGATCCCAGAGCAAAACTCTGAACTGAATTTCAATTAATATTTGTAATTTTTAAGAATTTGGCAGGCACATAACTAAATGTTAAGTAGAGTTCAGTAGATAAGATAAAGTAAAATTATTTAATAGCTGGGGTTTTATATTAATTCATATCCATTGGAACTTCATGTATTTAAATGTGTTATAAATACTGTTGTAGCCAGTGCACTAACAAGTGCACTGACTCCAACAATATTTATAACACATTAAACTACTGTTGTAGCCTCTCCCTCCCAACATGCCCCAGTTCTGACAAAGGGTAATGGACCCGAAACATTGACTCACTTTCTTTTCTCCATAGATGTTGCCTGACCTGCTGAGTGTTCCCAGCGACTTCTGTTTTTGTTTCACTAACAATATTGACTTGATAATGCAGCATCAGAGCCAATTTTATATTGGGACTGTGTGATGTACCTAGGGTTTTCTGGAGGAGATGCACTTTATGTCTTGTAGTGCTTTAACAGTGAGAGCTTCAACATTTGCATTCCTATTTTCCTGATAAACGATTTTGAACAACAACTTGCATTTAAAGAGTGCCCTTCACGCAAGATAGCTGCTCAAAGCGCATTGTCAATGGCATAGTTCACAGCATACTCGTAATGTTGGCATTTAGCAGTTCAGAATATCTCTCTAGGCATTATTAAACCCTCTACTCTCTATGACAGTCTTTCTCTTGTTAGTTATGTGGTTAAGAATGTACTTATGAAGCATCAGGATAATATCTATTAGAATGAATTAGTTACAAAAACAACAGTTCTACTACAATTGTTCCCCTTTTGTTTACATAACTTATATGTGTATATATTCAATTAACATTTACAACTAGTGGTCTGGAGCACAGAAAACACTGACAAATTTGAGTGCCATGACAAATATCTTTTATATATCACACTATTTTATGAATTTAAAAATGTTCGATACTTGAGATTGTGCTTTAAAACATCAAAACAAACCCACTATTATTATCTGAATTTTCATTCAACAGGTTTCACACTACCTTTACTGTTTTAATATCACATCACAGCATTGTTTTGAATTTAGACTTTCTTATTCCACTTTCACAGAACAATATTGTGGTCATCATTTACCATCGGATCTGCAACAACAACAACAAGTTTCTATCCAATGTATTCCGTTTTATCAAAAGTGACAGTGATGTTTTAACTGATCAGATGGATACATTTTTGAATGATTTATTTCCCATGAAATGCAAGGCCACTCATCCTTCACATACAATACCTAGTAAATAGGCAGCAAGTTATTATCAGACATGGTGCTCTGTGTGAAGCTTTAAAACATATAGAAATAGATGTGAATTAATATTAGAACATTGACTCTCCAAATCAAATGATGATGGATTTGAGTGCCAATGTTGCCTAATCTTGTGTTCAGCTTACTGTGAATACATTTTATCAGGTCTTAACCAAACTTTAAATGCACTTTTCTACTAATTTCCTCTTATCCTTTTATCTTATTTGGAATTTCTTAACTATGCTGTGTCTATGCATTTAGATTTTTTTTTCCCCATCGCCTAATTTCTAGAGTATAATTACACTGTTTGAATCTCTCCATAATTTATGCACTTTACATTTGGGACTTGTTTCATTGCTTCTAGAGGTGATTCATCGTGTGCGTGGGGAAGGGGGTTGGAGGGGAAGAAATTGCCCCAAGGAAATACATCAATCAAATATACATTGAGCAATTTAAATGTTTACCTGCAAATTTTCGTGCTTTAAACAAACTTACAATTAAATCGATGGTAATTTAATTATAGAAATATAGACTGATGATTTCCCATTGCATGGAGTCAAAGAGTCCAGCACTCAGGGATAGAATCATAGAATGTTACAGCACAGTAGGAGATCATTTGCTCTATTGTGCCCATTTAATCCCACTTCTCTTCCCTTTTCCCGCTGTGTAAATGAGAATTCCATCAACCTCTCCCTTTGATTTTTTAGTTAATGGTCTAAATTCATACCCTCCAGTTACTGACTCATTGACCAGTAGAAATGTTTTCCCTCATTTCCCCATCGAAACCCCTCATAATTTTGTACAAACCTATTACGTCTCCTTTCTTGAGTCTCTCCATATAAATAAGTAGACTCTTAGCCTACTAAATCCTTTCTGTACCCTTTCCATGGTCTTGATATCCTCCCTAAGGTGGAACTCCCCAAATTGGAAATAATAATCCTTGCATTTGACATAGCGCCTTATCACATCTTTGAAATGTTTCAAAGAGCTTCACAGAATATACTATAAAATGAATAGACTATGTATTTTGTGGGCGAAACATGCCACCTGTGGCCTGATTGATAATTTAGTCAGGTTTAGCATTACATTAGCTGATAAACAAACATTCATTTGGATAGCAATTGTGGAAAATAGCCTTGTTCTGAAATATAAATAATCTAAATATATTTTGGAACCATTGGATATTTTAACATGCGAGATGTCTTGAAGAATCTCAAGAAAATGTTTATTTTCACGCAATTCATTTTGCTTAGCTGTTGGCACATTAAATGTGTCATTTTACACATGATTGCCAGACTTTAACAAGTTATGTGGTCAGGCTGAAGAATTGCTGAGTGCTTTCATGTTGTAAATATGAAGGAACATGGGAGCAATGATCATACTTTTCTTGTTATGAACCAACTGCAGTTGACTATATTACCAGTGAATAGTATAACTAGTGAAGAACCATAGGTGTTACAATCTTATTGTAAATGGTGGCATAAAACTTAAATTGGCCCAACACACTGGTTTGTGTGTATAGTGTTACACTGCAACATTGAATGAACTTTTTGTCTGCTCTTGTGCAGTCCTGTGTTCCAAGGTGACTTGCAAAGTCAATGAATGTTTAATTGTACTTGACCAATGTTTCATGCATAAGTTAATTAGACTATTATTACTGGACCTTTTAATCCTCGGAGTGCTGAATATTCTCTACTGCTTGTAAAATATGCCTGGGATTTTAGAGGTGTGTGGGAAGCCAGCTCTTAGAATGAGCTGTCATGCCTGAAGAAAGCAGTTCTAATTCAAATCTGGCACTGGTCCAAAAGAAATGGTTGAAACTGATGGAAAATGAAAATTAAATTAAAACAAGTGAAATGAAATGTGCATAATAAATTTTCCAGAGAAATCATTTATGTGCACCTCATTAAACTAACCAGATTAGTCAAAAGTAACAATTTCTGATCAATTAAGTTTCTAGATAAATATCATAAGTTAATTCAGAAAGTGGAGCAATTTGAGGACACATTCAACACAACTGGAAATGTGCTGTGTGACCCTAATCTGTAGTACGGTATCCGGGTTGTTAAAAAATGTTGCTTGACTTGACATCCTATAATAATGTGTTTTGCTATATATACATATAAAATCCAATGAGTTGTTGAATACGTCATGTGGTTCACTGCCTGGTTATCTCAGCCAATTTAATGGATAAATCTACATTTCTTTAACTATTTTTCAATACATTTGTAGCAAATATCAACCATAGTAAAATATTAAAGGTTTGAGCCATGTCTTCTGGGTAAATCATTACTGTTTCTTTCAAAGTTCATGACAGCTCAGATCAGACAATGGATTGGGTGGATCTAGATCAGTTCAGATCAAACAAAAGCACCAGGGACTTTTCACTGTAGTTTTGATCAAATCCTTCAACATGACATGGGGAAGCATGATTATACTCACTGGCATGCTCACAAGCAGATGCCAATCAAAAGTCTTAATAGTCTACTCTAACTGCTTACCAACTACATATCACTAACTGATGGGAGCAAGGTGGTGCCACTCAGACATTTTCTTGCAGGCTGTACATTTCACCAGGGAACCTTCTCAGTTAGCTCTCTGTTTGGTTCTCTGACTTTAGTAAGATATACTTAAAGCGCTTTAAATTGGTCTGTTTTCTATTCTGCATTAAATTCTACCAGAATACAAACTACAAAGCAAGGAAGAATACCCAACACACATATCATTTGAGTGGATTAAGATACAAATGGAAAGGTAATTCAAGGCAGGTTGACTGGGGTTTTCCCACAGTATGACAGTGTTATGTTTCACACGTGAAATATTATGCTATCCCACATAATCTATACAAGAATTTTTCATTGGATTCCATCAAGCTCAATTGTCCATCACGTACAAAGAAAAGTTTACAGAAAGGAGGTGATCACCATCTTTCCACTTGACTGCTGTAGTCCTCTGTGGTCACACTCTCCATGGTCTCCTTGGTCTGTGGTTTATAGTGCGTTGCCTGTTTCTCGTGAAGCAGTCTCCGCTCCTCCTGTCGCTTTCGCTTCTCCTCCTGGTGCTCTTTTTGCCTCATGTACTGAAAGCGCTGTAAAAAGAGATCTTTTGCATAGTCATAGAGCTGCACGTCTAAAAAATTCAACTGCTCGATGCGTTTCCTAGTCTGCTCATTGAGCTCGACACTGGCAGCTCGTGTGCTATTGAACTGAGTGAAAGGCGAGATAAACTTCAAGTGAAAGGTTCTTTCAAACAGATACTGAGTCTTCCTTTGGAATTCAGTGAGTCCAAAAAAGGCCATGTCCTTAAGGTTGTTTTTTGCACTGTGTAAAAGGATCTCGTTCCTCCTATTTTCTGTCATGATAGATAAATTGTAGCATCCCACGAGGCTGAGATCTGCCAGCATGCGGACCTGGCGGTTGTTGGCCAGGTTGTAAGGGCAGTTCATGAATTCCTGGAGAGTGCAGCCTGACCAATCATCCCCAATGTAGCAGGTGGGCAGCTCATCCTGTGTGGGGGTCCTGCCATCACACATGTGCAGGGAAGCCTTCCACGTCGCTCCTCTCTGAACATGCCTCCACTCACTTAAATAACGGGACACTGGATCTCTCAGCATCGTTATGTAATAAAAGTTCCTAAAATCGAGGAGGGAAGAAAACAGAAAAGTTTATAATATTCATTTATTCGATTACGGCTCATTAATCATTTCCAGTGGCTTACATCTTGTCATTTCATACAGCTCTAAAATTCACAGTCAATTGCTCTCATACATTAGTGCAGCATTGTGTGTCACAGCAACTAACCGTTCTGAAATCTAATCTTTCCTGACCCAGGCAGGTCATCATTGTCTTTGAGCATAAATATCACCAGCCCAAAAGTAACTCTTCAGTTTGTGCAGTAACATCTGAGATTGTTAATAATATATGAGGACAAGTGACCACAAGACATCCTGGCTTGTTAGTGTTACCTATATGTTATGGCAATTCATAATAATCCTTGCATTTGATATAGCGCTTTTCACATCTTCCAGACGTCTCCAAAGTGCTTCACAGAATATACTGTAAAGTGAATTCACTGTATATTTGTGGGCGAAACGTGGCAGCCAATTGAGCACATTGCTATGAATATCATTATGAAACTGCCAAGCACTGCCAAGGGTCAGTGCTAACAGATAAACCAGAATCTCACCACTGGATGGCAGCAATATTTCAACATTGTAGCATTTTGATACTGTGCCATTTTGTTTCCACATTATTATTAATAAATGAGTATATTGGGGTCTAATATTCTGTGATCTTTAATGGGATTCCATAAAAAATAACCTGGAAGTATATCACACTGAGGGAAACTCTGACTGGATCTGCTTTCAAAGCAAAAGTGAGTATGCGTGATGTGTTTCAGGTTACTGGAAGGAACTTGGATTTTCTTTTTAAGGAAACTTGGATCATCCCAGGCGACACCTTCCTTCCCATTGAGGCCACACCACCCAGCTATACCTCCCACCATACCCCATATCCCAACCACCGTGGCAGTGGTGTGGCCCTCATCTCCAGTACCTGACTTGCTCTATCTCTTCACTCCTCTGACTCATTCCCCTCATTCGAGCACCTTACCCTCTACCATCCTTACAATCTTTCCCCAAAACTTCCCCCACTTTCATTTCTGACCTCTCCACTCTCCTAGCTTCCTTCTGCCTCTGTTCTGAACTCCTCCTCATCCTCGGCATCTTCAACCTTCACTTTAGCCCCTCCTACTCTATCTCCTTGGACGCCTCCTCTCTCCTCCTCTCTCACGTCCTCTCCCTCACATCCACTTTGCCACCCACGTTTAAGGCTACCCACTCGACCAGATGATTACCCAGGGCTTCAGTGTCTCTGATATTACAATCACAGACAAAGCCATCTCTGATCACCATTTCATCTCCTTTAACTCCTCAATCTCTCTCCGCATCGCTACCAAACCCACCTCCATCATCTACTGCCCCTGGAAAAAAATCTCCCCGCAATCCTTTTCCACTGCCCTGGAGTCGTCTAAACTCCTCTCCCTCTGGCCTACCTCCCGCACTGGTTTATCCTCCTCACTCACTCTCTCCACAACTAACTCTCCAGCACTCTGCATGCCCTTTCCCCCTCACCTCCTGAACCGCCTCCTACTCATGAACCTCACTCTGGTACACCAGCCTCCTCCGCTCCCTCAAGGGTCAGGTCCGGGCCACTGAATACACCTGGCTCAAATCTGATCTAACAGTCCACCTGTAGATCTGGCTGTACCACATCAAATGTACTGTTCCACCTTGCTTCCGCCAGATAATCTTGGAGGTGAAGGACAACCCCGGGGCTCCTATTGTCCACGACCAACTGGCTCCTCCATCCACCCTTCCACTTCTTGTCCATTCTCTCCTCAAACTCTGACAGTGAGAAGATGCTAGATTTCCTCGAGTCCAAAATTGAGGGGATCCATTCAGCTGCCTCTGCCCTACCCATCCCTCCGGCCACATCTTCGAACCTGTCTCCCGCTCCTCTCTCATCACTACCATATCCAGCATGAAACACACCACCTGCTCCCTTGACCCCATCCCCATCCCTCTCCTTACCTACCAGCTCCACCTCCTCATCCCTCTACTCTAACACCATCAATCTCTCCCTATCCTCTGGCACCATTCCCATTCCCCCCAAAACAGCTATAATCACCTCCATCCTGAAAAAATCTTCAGTCAGATACCTAGGCATCCTGTTCGACCCTCAACTGTCCTTTCTTCCCCACATCCATGCCTTGACCCGCTCTGCGTTCCCCCACATGTGTATCATTGCCCGACTCCACCACTGCCTCACCCCTCAGGCTGCCGAAACCCTCATACACGTATTCGTCACCTCAAGCCTCGACTACGGAGACTCCCTGCTTGTCAGCCTCCCCAACTCTTCCCTCCACAAGCTGCAGATCATTCAGAACTCGGCAGCTTGTGTCCTCTCCCGCACCAGGCTCTGTAACCCCATTACCCCCAATAACAACCACCCTCAGCCAGCTCCACTGGCTCCCCATCCCTCAGAGCATAGAATTCAAAATCCTCGTCTTAACCTTTAAGGCCCTCTACGGCCTTGCCCCTTCCTACATCTCTGACCTGCTGACCCTCTATCAACCTGTCTGCTTCCTCCGTTCAGCAGACTCCTGCCTGCTCCATGTCTCCTGCCTGACCTGCCCTAACATCGGCGGCCGGGCTTTCAGCCTCTCTGTCCCCACCCTTTGGAACTTCATCCCACAAGTCCTTCGCCTTGCTCTCTCCCTTGCCTCCTTCAAGCCACGACTCAAGACCCTCCTTTTCAACAGTGCCTTCAGCCGCCTCCTATCTCTCTGCCCTCTCTCATCCCAAACCTGCCCCCCACCTCGGGTACTAATCCCCGACTATTCAGCACCTAGGAATGTCCTCTCGATGTGAAAAGCGCTTTACAGATGTAATTTTCTTGTTGTATAAATGCATGTTGCGTTTGTTATTGTTGAATATCACAGATTTCTGACACAAAATATTTCACACTGCATTATAATTCACAGTTTGAATCACCTGCAAAACAAAGTTTGCAGCTGCAGTATGTTGAAATTCTTCACAACATGTACCTGCACACGTTTGTATTCTATTCAATGACTGACTCTTAGACTTTTCACAATCCTATTAAACAAGATATTAATTCTATGTTCTTGCAGATTATGTTATGGTTAAATAAATGCCAGTCAAATAGCAAGAACTTAATGGTGCATACAGATCTAACAACTTATTTAATGGAGTCTAACTGCCATGTTCTGGAGCTGTTTGGAAGCTTTTGACCTAAATTGAATTTCCTTTTCAATATGGTTAAATGCAAACATGGAATATAATTGAAGATTAGATAATTACAAAACATGTAATTGTATTATAAGGCAATGCGATTGAAGGATTCAGATGACACTGTCCAAAATACAAGTGAGACACGGCACCGCCCCCCCCTCTCCCATAACAGTCTGGAAACCTTATCGGAATCTATGCTCTCCCCACCCATTTGATTTATCCTCCCCTCGCCCTTGCAGCCTTGGCATAATAATTGTGCACAAAGATTTCAATTGCAGATATTGGCGTTTGCGTGCAGCCAAAAACATGACACAGACTTAACACAGTCAATATCCTGTGATGCAGCACTCAAATGGTGCCAACAGGCCACTGGTGTGTGTGTGTGTGTGTTATGAAAATTAGGGAGGCTGTAAATTTCACCCAAATATCACAAAGCTGCAAGTATCTCCCTTTAATTCCATTTGCGATGAATTATCAGCGGCTAAAATAAGACAGCCATGTCCCTCAGAGCTAAGAAACACATGATTTATGCACAGTAACTATGACACCAGCATGTAAACAAGAACATTAAGCAACTAAAAGCAAAAGATAATCTGAGATAAAAGAATAGACAATGGCAGTCAAGCAACCCATTCGCCAACTCTGAACTGACAGCGGTAAAAACGGAAAATGTTCCTTGACTTGACTGTATTATTTTTCCTGAAGGCGGTTTATTTACTTGCAATTGCTCTTGGCATTCTTAGGTATAAAAACAATTTCCATCCACAAAACATGCTCAGTATGGAAGCCCTGTGAACATCTGTCACTATTTCACACAGTTTTCAAATGGTATTCAGGAAGCTGTTAGTTGTAGTGCTCTCTGAGTTTAATTTAAAGCATTGATTTCATTTCAATTCCCTGAAATGATTTTCAGGTTACACCAGCAACAGTCAATGTGCTTGTCTTTGAGAAGCATTATGACCCTGGAGATCAGCCCAGCATTACTTGACCTAAGGTATACCACACATGCTGCGTTGAACTGAGCCTGGAAAAGTTACGTTAACACTGCAATGCAAACGATGGGTCTGAAATTCCACCAAGACTTACTCTGTAAGACTGTTTAATCTTAAAATTTAAGACAGTATAACATTGTGGACTGCCCTTTCAGTTTTAATTTTGAAAGCCTTTTCTTAAAAAAAACTGCGGACAACAACAAATTACATTTATATAGAGCCTTTCACATCAGAAGGATGTCCCACGGGGGTAGACAGTCAAGGTTTTGCACCCGAGTTGTGGGGCTTGATCCAAGAGGGGTGGAGGGCAAAGGGGGTGGTGGTGGTGGGAAGATGATCAAAGGCGTAGTCAAAGAGGAAGGTCTTGAGATGGGCCTTGAAGGAAGCAAGGGAGAGGGCAAGATGGAGGGGCTCCGGGATGGAGTTCCAGAGGATACGTGCAGAAAGGCTAAATGCTCGACCTCTGATGGTGGAGTGGGCAGAGCGGGGACGTGGAGCAGATCAGTACTCACCAAGCAGAGGGAACGGACAGTTTGATAAGATTTTAGTAGGTCACAGAGGTAGGGCGGAGCAAGACTGTGGAGGGCTTTAAAGCCGAGGACAAGTATTTTAAACTCAATCCTTTGGGGGATGGGGAGCCAGTGAAATCGGGTGAGGATGGGGGTGATTGGCTCGCTGAGTTTAGTGTTGGAGAGGACACAAGTTGCAGTCTTCTGAATAATCTGCAGCATGTAGTGGGAAGAGTTGGGGAGTCCGGCGAGCAGGGAGTTAGCATAGTTGACCAAGACAATCATCTCAGAAGCTGCGTTACAAGCAAAGCGTGAAA